CTGAGGGTGTTGGTGCTGAGACCACTGCTGTCTGTCCTCTCGGTGGTTCTGCTGCTGGTACTGCTGTTGGTCCTGCCGCTGGAGGTGTGGGTGGCGCTGGTGCTGTCGCTGAGGGTGCTGGTGCTGTCCCTGCTGAGTCTGGAGCTGCCGCGCGGCCTCGGCCGTACTTCGTTCCGCTCCTGCAGCAGGTTCTTGGTCTTTCTCCTCCGGTAGAGGGTTCACCGCCTGTCCAGTCGCAGTCCCTACTACTGGAGCCTTCTCTCCACTGCCTGCTCCCTCTCCTTACACTGGTCCTACTGGTGGTCTTGCTGAGCGCCGTGAGCCTGCGTCTCGTCCCGCGTCGCCTGTTCGTGCTGCTCGCGCTAGTGGTCGCAGTTCGCGTCAGCGTCCTCCTCCTGTCCCTGGCACACACCGGATGTCTCTGCGTCCGTCCACCTGCTCCTCTGCGTGCCCCTTTGCCTTCTCCTCCTGAGTCCTCTCTTCCTGCGCTTGCTGACCCTGAGTTGGACTCTCTTCGTGCTGCCAGTCCTACTGTCACGCGTCTGCTTGCTACTGTCGTCACTGACCCCTCTTTTGAGTCCACTGCTGCGTCTGCTCTTGTCGCTGAGCTCGTCGACTTTGCTGCTCGCATGTCGTTCTCGACTACGCTGCTAGTCTTGTTGCCTGAGTCTGCGTCTGTCCTGTCCTCCGTCCGTCGGGGGTGAAGTGCTCTTGGCACGGACGTCCTAGAGGACAGGCAGGAGGAGTTACAGTGTCTGGCTGCTGCTTCACCTCATCTCGCGTCTGTACTGCTTGCTCCTGAGGGAGACCCGGATGCACTAGACATCCCGACTCCGCGCTCTTACGCGGAGGCCGTAGAGGGTCCCTACTCCTCTCAGTGGCAGGCAGCTATGGATGCAGAGATGGGCTTCCTGGAAGTCCACAGGCACCTACGTTGACGCAGTTCCCCCTCCTGGGGCGAACATCGTCAGTGGCATGTGGATCTTCAGGGTGAAGCGGCCGCCGGGCTCTCCACCTGTCTTCAAGGCGCGGTACGGTTGTTCGTGGCTTCAGTCAGCGGCAGGGAGTTGACTACTTTCAGACCTTCTCTCCCACCCTGAAGATGACCACTCTTCGGGTGCTGCTGCACATAGCCGCTCAGCGCGACTACGAGCTTCACTCTCTCGACTTCAGCACTGCGTTCTTGCAGGGTAGCCTGCACGAGGAGATCTGGCTGCGCCGTCCGCCTGGCTTCACTGGGACTTTCCCTCCTGGCACCCAGTGGAGCCTCCGACGGCCAGTCTACGGTCTCCGCCAGGCACCGCGTGAGTGGCACGACACACTGAGGACTACGCTTGCGGCTCTTGGGTTTGCTCCCTCTACTGCTGACCCGTCGCTGTTTCTTGCGCACCGACACTTCACTGCCGCCGTTCTACATCCTCGTGTACGTCGACGACTTGGTCTTTGCCACAGCGGACACTGCTGGACTCGCCTACGTGAAGTCCGAGCTGCTGAAGAGACACACGTGCACTGACCTGGGTGAACTGCGCAGCTACCTTGGCTTGCAGATCACTCGGGATAGAGCACGCCGCACCATTACCTTGACTCAGTCACACATGGTGCAGCAGGTCCTTCAGCGCTTCGGCTTCACGTACTCCTCGCCTCAGGCCACTCCTCTGCCTACTCGCCACTCACTCTCAGCTCTGCCTTCGGATGAGTCCTTAGAGTCGAGTGGGTCCGTATGCAAAGCTTGTTGGCTGCCTCATGTACCTGATGACCTGCACACGACCTGACCTTGCATACCCTTTGAGCATTCTTGCAACGCTATGTTGCTCCTGGGAGACACCGACCAGAGCACATGGCAGCAGCGAAGAGGGTATTGCGCTACCTGTGCAGTACGTCGGGCATGGGGCTAGTGCTTGGAGGGCGGAGTCCAGTGGTCCTTACAGGCCACGCGGACGCTTCTTTGGGCTGACGACCAGGCTACGCAGCGGTCGTCACAGGGTTACACCTTCAGCCTTGGTTCCGGCTCTGTCTCGTGGCGGTCTACTCGCTCGTCTTTAGTTCTCGGCTCCAGTTGTGAGGCTGAGATCTACGCCGGGGCCATGGCTGCACAGGAGCTTCGCTGGCTCACCTACCTGCTGACTGACCTTGGAGAGCCGCCTCGTTCTCCTCCAGTGCTGTACGTAGACAACAAGGCCATGCTGGCCTTGTGTCGAGAGCAGCGCTTGGAGCACAGAACGAAGCACATTGCTCTCCGCTACTTCCTTGCTCGTGAGCTGCAGCAGCGTGGTCAGTTGCGACTTGCGTAGCGTGGCCTCTAAGGCCAACACTGCTGATGTGTTCACCAAGGCACTCGCGCCTTGTGACGATCAGCGCTTTTTGCACCCAGCTGGGTCTTGTGCCTGTCTTGCCTCACTTGCTCTCCTCTTGACTTCACTTGTACTGTGACATATATATATACCTGCTCTTGCTTGTCTAGTTTTATATATATGTCTGTCCTCCTGCATGTGAACTGGCCTCTGGCCCTACTCTTGTGCTCGGACTGTGTGGTGACTTTGTGATCCACCCTGAGCTTGCTTTGCTTTGCTTTGCTTGACTGGTCTTGTGACCCCTTGTTCTCCCCCACTTTGCCTATGGGGGTGTGTCAGAGTATTATAACTGATGCATGTTTGTAGGCTATAGTGGGGGTAGCACATATGGGGTACAGCTTTCTAGGGTTGTATTTGTACCCAACTCTGACTTAGTCATTTCATTCCTGTTCATTCTTTTCACATTGGCGAGGTCGGTCAGTATGGGAACTTAGAGTGCAAATGCCTGGGAGGAACAGAACCGCTCAGATCTCGCATAATACACGGAATCCAGTGGTCTCACTCAATATAAGGTAGGAAATATATTCATCTAGTGAACGTAAGGGTTTGAAAGGTAACTAACGCACATGTGTAGAGAAAATTGTGCATCGGCCAGTCTGGCCGGCATTTCGCACTTATAGTGCAAGTAGGGCCAAGGAGAACGGAAACGCTCATTTCTCAGAAAGTAAAGGGAATCTAGCCGGATCACTCGATCAAAAGGTGGGAAATATATAAATCTAGTGAGCTAATAAGGTTCGGAAGGAATCTAATGTATATGTATATGGAAAGTGGTGCATTGGCCAGGTCGGTCAGTATGGGAACTTATAGTGCAAATGCCAGGGAGAATGGAAGCGCTCAGATCTCGCATAGTTCACAGAATCTAGTGGTCTCACTCAAATAGAAGGTAGGAAATAAATTCATCTAGTGAACGTAAGGGTTTGAAAGGTAACTAACGCACATGTGTAGAGAATATGGTGCATCGGCCAGTCTGGCCGGCATTTCGCACTTATAGTGCAAGTAGGGCCAAGGAGAACGGAAATGCTCATTTCTCAAAAAGTAAAGGGAATCTAGCGGTCTCACTCGATCAAAAGGTGGGAAATATATAAATCTAGTGAGCTAATAAGGTTTGAAAGGAATCTAATGCATATGTATATGGAAAGTGGTGCATTGGCCAGGTCGGTCAGTATGGGAACTTCAGTGCAAATGCCTGGGAGAACAGAACCGCTCAGATCTCGCATAATACACGGAATCTAGTGGTCTCACTCAAATATAAGGTAGGAAATATATTCATCTAGTGAACGTAAGGGTTTGAAAGGTAACTAACGCACATGTGTAGATAAAATTGTGCATCGGCCAGTCTGGCCGGCATTTCGCACTCAGAGTGCAAGTAGGGCCAGGGAGAACGGAAACGCTCATTTCTCAGAAAGTAAAGGGAATCTAGCGGGATCACTCGATCAAAAGGTGGGAAATATATAAATCTAGTGAGCTAATAAGGTTCAGAAGGAATCTAATGCATATGTATATGGAAAGTGGTGCATTGGCCAGGTCGGTCAGTATGGGAACTTAGAGTGCAAATGCGAGGGAGAACGGTACCCGCTCAGATCTCGCATAATACACGGAATCTAGTGGTCTCACTCAAATATAAGGTAGGAAATATATTCATCTAGTGAACGTAAGGGTTGAAAGGTAACTAATGCACATGTGTAGAGAAAATGGTGCATCGGCCAGTCTGGCCGGCATTTCGTACTCATAGTGCAGGTTGGGCCAGGGTAGAACGGAAACGCTCGTTTCTCAAAAAGTAGAGGGAATCTAACGGTCTCACTCGATCAGAAGGTGGGAAATATATAAATCTAGTCAGCTAAAAAGGTTTGAAATGTATTCAACGCACATGTATAGAGAAAATGGTGCATTGGCCAGGTCGTCAGTATCGGAACTTAAAATGCAAATGCCAGGGAGAACGGAAGCGCTCAGATCTCGCATAGTACAACGGAATCAAGTGGTCTCACTCAATAGAAAGTAGGAAATATATTCATCTAGTGAACGTAAGGGTTTGAAAGGTAACTAACGCACATGTGTAGAGAGAAAATGGTGCATCGGCCAGTCTGGCCGGCATTTCGCACTCATAGTGCAGGTGGGGCCAGGGAGAACGGAAACGCTCGTTTCTCAAAAAGTAGAGGGAATCTAACCGTCTCACTCAATCAAAAGGTGGGAAATATATAAATCTAGTCAGCTAAAAAGGTTTGAAATGTATTCAACGCACATGTATAGAGAAAATGGTGCATTGGCCAGGTCGGTCAGTATCGGAACTTAAAATGCAAATGCCAGGGAGAACGGAAGAGCTCAGATCTCGCATAGTACACGGAATCAAGTGGTCTCACCCAAATAGAAAGTAGGAAATATATTCATCTAGTGAACATAAGGGTTTGAAAGGTAACTTACTCACATGTGTAGAGAAAATTGTGCGTCGGCCAGTCTGGCCGGCATTTCGCACTGATAGTGCAACTAGGGCCAAGGAGAACGGAAACGCTCATTTCTCAGAAAGTAGAGGGAATCTAGCGGTCTCACTCGATCAGAAGGTGGGAAATATATAAATCTAGTGAACTAAAAAGGTTTGAAAGGAATCTAATGCATATGTATATGGAAAATGGTGCATTGGCCAGGTCGGTCAGTATGGGAACTTCGAGTGCAAATGACATGGACGTGGTCGTGGACGTGGACGTGGACGTGGACATGGACATGGACATGGACGTGGACATGGACGTGGACGTGGACATGGACGTGGACGTGGACATGGACGTGGACATGGACGTGGACGTGGACAGGGACGTGGACGTGGACGTGGACGTGGACAGGGACGTGGACGTGGACGTGGACGTGGACGTGCACGTGGTCGTGGACGTGGACGTGGACGTAGACGTGGACGTGGACCTGGACGGGGACGTGGACGTGGACCTGGACGTGGACGTGGACACGGACATGGACGTGGACGTGGACGCGGACATGGACGGGGACGTGGACGCGGACGTGGACGTGGACGTGGACGTGGACGTGGACGTGGACCTGGACGCGGACATGGACGTGGACATGGACGTAGACGCGGACGTGGAGGACTTGGACGTGGACATGGACGTGGACATAGACGTGGACGTGGACGTGGACGTGGACATGGACGTGGACGTGGACGTGGACGTGGACGTAGACGTGGACGTAGACGTGGACGTGGACGTAGACGTGGACGTGGACGTGGACGTGGACGTCGACGTGGACGTGGACGTGGACGTGGACGTAGACGTGGACGTGGACGTGGACGTGGACGTGGTCGTGGACGTGGACGTGGACGTGGACGTGGACGTGGACGTGGACGTGGAGGTGGACGTGGACGTGGACGTGGACGTGGACCGTGGACGTGGAGGTGGAGGTGGACGTGGACATGGACGTGGAGGTGGGACGTGGAGGTGGACGTGGACGTGGTCGTGGACGTGACGTGGACGTGGACGTGGACGCGGACGTGGACGTGGACGTGGACGCGGACGCGGACGTGGACGTGGACGCGGACGCTGACGTGGACGTGGACGTGGACGTGGACGTGGACGTGGACGACGTGGACGTGGACGTGGACGTGGACGTGGACGTGGATGTGGACGTGGACGCGTGGACTGGACGTGGAGGACGTGGACGTAGACGTGGACGTGGACGTGGACGTGGACGTGGAGAACTTGGACGTGGACATGGACGTGAACGTGGACGTGGACGTGGACGTCGAGGACTTGGACGTGGACATGGACGTGGACGTGGAGTGGACGTGGACGTGGACGTGGACGTTTACGTGGACGTAGACGTGGACATGGACGTGGACGTGGACGTGACGTGGACGTGGACGTGGACGTGGACGTGGACATGGACATGGACGTGGACGTGGACGTGGACATGGAGGTGGACGTGGACGTGGACGTGGACATGGACGTGGACATGGACGTGGACGTGGACGTGGACATGGACGTGGACATGGACATGGACGTGGACGTGGACGTGGACGTGGAGTGGACGTGGAGTGGACGTGGACGTGGACATGGACGTGGACGTGGACGTGGACGTGGACGTGGACGTGGATGTGGACGTGGACGTGGAGGGACGTAGACGTGGACATGGACGTGAAACGTGGACGTGGACGTGGAGGACTTGGACCTGGACATGGACGTGGACGTGGACGTGGACATGGACGTGGACGTGGACGTGGACGTGGAAGTGGACGTGGACGTGGACATGGACGTGGAGGTCGACGTGGACGTGGACGTGGACATGGACCTGGACATGGACGTGGACGTGGACGTGGACGTGGACATGGACGTGGACGTGCACATGGTCGTGGACGTGGACGTGGACGTGGACGTGGACATGGTCGTGGACGTGGACGTGGACGTGGACATGGACGTGGACGTGCACATGGTTGTGGACGTGGACGTGGACGTGGACATGGACGTGGACGTGGACATGGACGTGGACATGGACGTGGACATGGACGTGGACGTGGACATGGACGTGGACGTGGACATGGACGTGGACATGGACGTGGACATGGACGTGGACATGGACGTGGACGTGGACGTGGGCGTGGACGTGGACGTGGACGTGGACGTGGAGATGGACGTGGACGTGGACGTGGAGGACTTGGACGTGGAGATGGACGTTTGACGTGGACGTGGATGTGGACGTGGACGTGGACGTGGACATGTACGTGGACGTGGACATGGACGTGGACATGTACGTGGACGTCGACGTGGAAGTGGACGTGGACGTGGAGAACTTGGACGTGGACATGGACGTGGACATGGACGTGGACGTGGATGTGGACGAAGACATGGTCGTGGATGTGGACGTGGACGTGGACGTGGACGTGGACGTGGACATGGACTTAGACGTGGACGTGGACGTGGACGTGGACGTGGACGTGGTCGTGGACGTGGACGTGGTCGTGGACATGGACGTGGACGTGGACATGGACATGGACGTGGACGTGGACGTAGACATGGACGTTGACCTGGACGTGGACGAGGACGTGGACGTGGACATGGACGTGGACGTGGACGTAGACAGGGACATGGACTTGGACATGGACGTGGACGTGGACATGGACGTGGACGTGGACATGGACATGGACATGGACGTGGACGTCAACGTGGACGTGGACATAGACGTGGACGTGGACGTGGACATGGATATGGACACGTCCACGTCCATGTCCACATCCACGTCCATGTCCACGTCCACGTCCATGTCCACGTCCATGTCTATGTCCATGTCCACGTCCATGTCCCGTCCACGTCCATGTCATTTGCACTCTAAGTTCCCATACTGAGCGACCTGGCCAATGCACCATTTTCCATATACATATGTATTAGATTCCTTTTGAACCTTATTAGCTCACTAGATTTATATATTTCCCACCTTCTGATCGAGTGAGACCGCTAGATTCCCTCTACTTTTTGAGAAATGAGCGTTTCCGTTCTCCTTGGCCCTAGTTGCACTATAAGTGCGAATGCCGGCCAGACTGGCCAATGCACAATTTTCTCTACACATGTGCGTTAGTTACCTTTCAAACCCTTACGTTCACTAGATGAATAGATTTCCTACTTTCTATTTGAGTGAGACCACTTGATTCCGTGTACTATGCGAGATCTGAGCGCTTCCGTTCTCCCTGGCATTTGCATTTTAAGTTCCGATACTGACCGACCTGGCCAATGCACCATTTTCTCTATACATGTGCATTGAATACATTTCAAACCTTTTAGCTGACTAGATTTATATATTTCCCACCTTCTCATCAAGTGAGACCGTTAGATTCCCTCAACTTTTTGAGAAACGAGCGTTTCCGTTCTCCCTGGCCCCACCTGCACTATGAGTGCGAAATGCCGGCTAGAGTGGCCAATGCACCATTTTCTCTACACATGTGCGTTAGTTACCTTTCAAACCCTTACGTTCACTAGATGAATATATTTCCTACCTTATATTTGAGTGAGACCACTAGATTCCGTGTATTATGCGAGATCTGAGCGGTTCCGTTCTCCCAGGCATTTGCACTCTAAGTTCCCATACTGACCGACCTGGCCAATGCACCACTTTCCATATACATATGCATTAGATTCCTTCCGAACCTTATTAGCTCACTAGATTTATATATTTCCCACCTTCTGATCGAGTGAGACCGCTAGATTCCTTTTACTTTTTGAGAAATGAGCGTTTCCGTTCTCCTTGGCCCTACTTGCACTATAAGTGCGAAATGCCGGCCAGACTGGCCGATGCACCATTTTCTCTACACATGTGCGTTAGTTACCTTTCACACCATTACGTTCACTAGATGAATTTATTTCCTACCTTCTATTTGAGTGAGACCACTAGATTCCGTGTACTATGCGAGATCCGAACGCTTCCGTCTCCCTGGCATTTGCACTCTAAGTTCCCATACTGACCGACCTGGCCAATGCACCATTTTCCATATACATATGCATTAGATTCCTTTCGAACCTTATTAGCTCACTAGATTTATATATTTCCCACCTTCTGATTGAGTGATACCGCTAGATTCCCTCTACTTTTTGAGAAATGAGCGTTTCCGTTTTCCTTGGCCCTAGTTGCACTATAAGTGCGAAATGCCGGCCAGACTGGCCGATGCACCATTTTCTCTACACATGTGCGTTAGTTACCTTTCAAACCCTTACGTTCACTAGATGAATATATTTCCAACTTTCTATTTGAGTGAGACCACTTGATTCCGTGTACTATGCGAGATGTGAGCGCTTCCGTTCTCCCTGGCATTTGCATTTTGAGTTCCGATACTGACCGACCTGGCCAATGCACCATTTTCTCTATACATGTGCGTTGAATACATTTCAAACCTTTTTAGCTGACTAGATTTATATATTTCCCACCTTCTGATCGAGTGAGACTATTAGATTCCCTCTACTTTTTGAGAAACGAGCGTTTCCGTTCTCTCTGGCCCCACCTGCACTATGAGTGCGAAATGCCGGCCAGACTGGCCGATGCACCATTTTCTCTACACATGTGCGTTAGTTACCTTTCAAACCCTTACGTTCACTAGATGAATATATTTCCTACCTTATATTTGAGTGAGACCACTAGATTCCGTGCATTATGCGAGATCTGAGCGGTTCCGTTCTCCCAGGCATTTGCACTCTAAGTTCCCATACTGACCGACCTGGCCAATGCACCACTTTCCATATACATATGCATTAGATTCCTTCCGAACCTTATTAGCTGACTAGATTTATATATTTCCCACCTTCTGATCGAGTGAGAACGCTAGATTCCCTTTACTTTTTGAGAAATGAGCGTTTCCGTTCTCCTTGGCCCTACTTGCACTATAAGTGCGAAATGCCGGTCAGACTGGCCGATGCACCATTTTCTCTACACATGTAGGTTAGTTACCTTTCAAACCTTTACGTTCACTAGATGAATTTATTTCCTACCTTCTATTTGAGTGAGACCACTAGATTCTGTGTACTATGCGAGATCTGAGCGCTTCCGTTCTCCCTGGCATTTGCACTCTAAGTTCCCATACTGACCGACCTGGCCAATGCACCATTTTCCATATACATATGCATTAGATTCCTTTCGAACCTTATTAGCTCACTAGATTTATATATTTCCCACCTTCTAATCGAGTGAGACTGCTAGATTCCCTTTACTTTTTGAGAAATGAGCGTTTCCGTTCTCCTTGGCCCTACTTGCACTATAAGTGCGAAATGCCGGCGAGACTGGCCGATGCTCCATTTTCTCTACACATGTGCGTTAGTTACCTTTCAAACCCTTACGTCCACTAGATGAATTTATTTCCTACCTTCTATTTGAGTGAGACCACTAGATTCCGTGTACTATGCGAGATCTGAGCGCTTCCGTTCTCCCTGGCATTTGCACTCTAAGTTCCCATACTGACCGACCTGGCCAATGCACCATTTTCCATATACATATGCATTAGATTCCTTTCGAACCTTATTAGCTCATTAGATTTATATATTTCCCACCTTCTGATCGAGTGAGACCGCTAGATTCCCTCTACTTTTTGAGAAATGAGCGTTTCGCACTATAAGTGCGAAATGCCGACCAAACTGGCCGATGCGCAATTTTCTCTACACATGTGCGTTAGTTACCTTTCAAACCCTTACATTCACTAGATGCATATATTTCTTACCTTATATTTGAGTGAGACCACTAGATTCCATGTATTATGCGAGATCTGAGCGGTTCCGTTCTCCGAGGCATTTGCACTCTAAGTTCCCATACTGACTGACCTGGCCAATGCACCACTTTCCATATACATATGCATTAGATGAGAAGAATTGAACGAGAATGGAATGACTATGAACGAAGTGAGTACAAATAGGAAACCCTGATTGGGTTGTACCCCTTATGGGATACCCCACTATAGCCTACAGAAACAAGTAAGCTATATGTTCTGACACACCCCCATAGGCAAAGTGGGGGAGAACAAGGGGTCACAAGACCAGTCAAGCAAAGCAAAGCAAAGCTCAGGGTGGATCACAAAGTCACCACGCATTCCGAGCACAAGTTCAAAGGCCAGAAGGCCAGTTCACATGCAAGATCATATATAGAGATATACAAGAGGCAAACAAGTAAGAACAAGAGTATATATATAGGCGAAGGTACAAGCAAGGTCAAGAGGAGAGCAAGTGAGGCAAGACAGGCACAAGACCCAACTGCGTGCAACAACGCTGATGATCACAAGGCGCAAGTGCCTTGGTGAAGATATCAGCAGTGTTGGCCTCAGAGGCCACGTACGCAAGTCGCAACTGTCCACGCTGCTGTAGCTCACGAGCAAGAAAGTAGCGGAGAGCAATGTGCTTCGTTCTGTGCTCCAGTCGCTGCTCTCGACACAAGGCCAGCATGGCCTTGTTGTCTACGTACAGGACTGGAGGAGAACGAGGCTGCTCTCCAAGGTCGGTCAGCAGGTAGGTGAGCCAACGTAACTCCTGCGCAGCCATAGCCCCAGCGTAGATCTCAGCCTCACAACTGGAGCCGAGAACAGAAGACGAGCGGGTAGCCCGCCACGAAACAGAGCCGGAACCAAGGCTGAAGGTGTAACCCTGTGACGACCGCTGCGTAGCCTGGTCGTCAGCCCAAGAAGCGTCTGCATGCCCAGTGAGGACCACTGGACTGCGCCCTCCAAGCACTAGCCCCATGCCCGACGTGCTGCACAAGTAGCGCAACACCCTCTTCGCTGCAGCCATGTGCTCTGGTCGGTGTCTCCCAGGAGCAACATAGCGTGCGAGAATGCTAAGAGGGTATGCAAGGTCAGGACGTGTGCAGGTCATCAGGTACATGAGGCAGCCAACAAGCTCTGCAAACGGGCCACTCGACTCTACGGACTCATCCGAAGGCAGAGCTGAGAGTGAGTGGCGAGTAGGCAGAGGAGTGGCCTGAGGCGAGGAGTACGTGAAGCCGAAGCGCTGAAGGACCTGCTGCACCATGTGTGACTGAGTCAGGGTAATGGTGCGGCGCGCTCTGTCCCGGGTGATCTGCAAGCCAAGGTAGCTACGCACTTCACCCAGGTCAGTGCACGTGTGTCTCTTCTGCAGCTCGGACTTCACGTAGGCGAGTCCAGCAGTGTAAGCTGTGGCAAAGACCAAGTCGTCGACGTACACGAGGATGTAGAACGGCGGCAGAGAGGTGTCGGTGCGCAGAAACAGCGACGGGTCGGCAGTAGACGGAGCAAACCCAAGTGTCGCGAGCGTAGTCCTCAGTGTGTCGTGCCACTCACGAGGCGCCTGGCGGAGACCGTAGACTGGACGCTAGAGACTCCACTGGGTACCAGGAGGGAACGACCCAGTGAAGCCAGGTGGGCGGCGCAGCCAGATCTCCTCGTGCAGGCTGCCCTGCAAGAAAGCTGTGCTGAAGTCGAGAGAGTGCAGCTCGTAGTCACGGTGAGCAGCAACGTGCAGCAGAACCCGAAGAGTAGTCATCTTCGGGGTGGGGGAGAAGGTCTGAAAGTAGTCAACCCCCTGCCGCTGACTGAAGCCACGAGCCACGTAACGCGCCTTGAAGACAGGCGGTGAACCCGGCGGCCGCTTCACCCTGAAAATCCACATGCCACTGACGATGTTCGCCCCAGGAGGGGGAACAGCGTCGACGTAGGTGCCTGTGGACTTCCAGGAAGCCATCTCTGCATCCATAGCTGCCTGCCACTGAGAGGAGTAGGGACCCTCTATCGCCTCCGCGTAAGAGCGCGGAGTCGGGATGTCTGGTGCATCCGGGTCTCCCTCAGGGGCTAGCAGTACAGACGCGAGATGAGGTGAAGCGGCTGCCAGACACTGGAACTCCTCCTGCCTGTCCTCAAGGACGTCCGTGCCGAGGGCACACTCACCCCCGACGGACGGAGGACAGGCAGACTCAGACTCAGCGACAAGACTGGCAGCGTAGTCTAGACGACAGCGTGCAGCAAAGTCGACAAGCTCAGTGACAAGGGCAGAAGCAGCAGACGACTCGAAGGAAGGGTCAGTGACAGCAGTAGCAAGAAGACGCGTGACAGTAGGACTGGCAGCACGAAGAGAGTCCGACTCCGGGTCGGCAAGAGCAGGAAGAGAGGAAGCAGGAGGAGAAGGCAAAGGGGCACGCAGAGGAGCAGTGGACGGACGCAGTGACATCCGGTGCGTGCCAGGGACAGGAGGAGGACGCTGACGCGACCCGCGACCACTAGCGCGCTCAGTACGAACAGGCAACGCAGGACGAGACGCAGGCTCACGACGCTCAGTAAGACCTCCAGTCGGACCAGCGTAGGGAGAAGGAGCAGGCAAAGGGGAGGCAGGCTGTAGCTGTGGCTGTGACCGGACAGGCTGCGGACCCTCTAAGGGAGGAGGAGGTGTAAGACCAAGAACCTGCTGCAGGAGCGGAACGAAGTACGGTCGGGGCCGCGCGGCGACGCCAGAAACAGCAGGAACAGCACCAGTACCCCCAGCAGGAGCACCCACTACAGTAGCACCTCCAGCAGCACCAGAACCTCCAGCAGCAGCACCAGGAGCACTGTCAGTCGGACCGCCAGCGGCAGGCACAGCGCCAACACCCTCAGCAGCACCAGCTCCAGGAGAACCCTCAGACCCAGCAGCTCCAGCACCCACAGTACGAGCACCACCGGGACGCGCGGCAGCAGTACCCTCTGCAGCCGAAGAACCACCAACACCAGCAGCACGCCTCCAGCGCCTGGCAAACCACTCACGCAGCTCCTGTGGGGAGAGTGGCTCCCGGCGAGACGAAGCACCCCCAGGCACAGCACCCCCAGGCTCAGCACCCCCAGGCTCAGCACCCCCAGGCTCAGCACCCCCAGGCGCAGCACCCCTAGGCTCAGCACCCCCAGGCTCGGCACCTCCAGGCTCAGCACCCCCAGGCTCAGCACCCCCAGTCTCCGCACCCCCAGGCTCCGCACCCCCCGGCACAGCACCCCCAGGCACAGCACCCCCAAGCTCCGCACCCCCAGGCTCCGCACCCCCAGGCTCAGCTCCCGCAGCAGCACCAGAGTCACCAGTGACCTCGACAGGCTCGACCGCGTCTACCTGGGACACACCTGAAGGGGCAGGACCCTGACGGGGGAGGGGGTCTACCGGGGGGGGACCTGGTACCAAGAAGAGCGGGGGTGGGGGGAGGGACGGAGTGCGGTAGGGGAAGAGGCGGTAGTAGGGTACCGACTCGTCGAACGTGACGTCCTGGGAGGACAGAACACGTCGAGAGGTGGGGTGGTAGAACTGCCACCCAGGGGCGTCGGGGGGGAACCCCAGGAAGACGCAGGGAGCAGCGCGAGGGGACAGCTTGTCCGCAGACAAGTCGCGGACAAACGCCCGAGATCCCCAGAACCAGAACGCCGACGCATCACCAACCTTCCCCGTCCACAGCAGGGCTGGGGAGGTCTCCGGCCTGGAGACCCTGGGGTGGAGGTTGATCTGATGCGCGGCGTACCTGACCGCAAACGGCCACAGAAAATGGGGGGGCAGCCGCATGCATCATGGACGTACGGGCGACGTCCATGACCATGCCAATGCGGCGCTCAGCAATCCCATTTTGCTGCGGGGAGTCCGGAAGCGTGAAGGACTGGCGGATGCCTCGCGCACGACAGTAGGCACGCAGAAGGCCAGAGGAGAACTCTCCGCCTCTGTCCGAGTGCAGACGCAACACAGGAAAGTCGGAGCCAAAGCTCTGCCTGAGCTGAAGACGAGCTGCGCGGATCCAGTCGATCAGCACCTCAGTGACCTCACCCTTGCTGCGCAAGGGGAAGACCGTGGTGTAACGCGAGTAGTCGTCAACAACGAGCAGGAAGTAGCCCTCCTGACCCTGTCCACGGACGCGGGCTGGGCCCCACACGTCCATGTGAAGCGTCTGCAACGGGGCCTCTGTCGGAGGAAACTGGGAGGAGTGAGGGGCAGCACGCTGGCGCCCCTCGACACAGGGGACACAGGCAGGGCCAGGGCCCTGAGGAAGGGGAGGTAGAGACTGGGGGAGACCAGACACAAGAAGACGGGAGGCCATGCCTCTGAGCCGAAGCAGAGAGGGGTGGCCAAGGCGGTGGTGCCAGAGGAGGGTCTCGTGAGACAGACGACGACACGAACAGGGGGCAGACTCAGGACCAGACCTGGACGCTGCGGCAAACACCTGACCAGACGAAGGGACCCTACCAGACTCAGCACCTGGAGGAGAAGCAGTGGTCAGTGTGTACAGGCTCGACCCTGGCCGACGTGTAAACGTAGCCAGGTGGCGTCCCGTGCTAGCCTCCGTGCAGTGGGTCACTCGCTGACGAGCAGGAGTGAACTGGTGGACACCCGCATCCTGTAGGTCAGCACCACTCACCAGGTTCGTCGAGAACGAGGGGAGGTAGAGACCAGACAGGGTGCCAGAGGGGGCCGCAGGACACGGAAGGACCGTGGAGAAGCGAGAAAGGACAGGCCCCCCAGAGGGGTCAGCCAGGGACACCGCAACCGGCCGACTCAGCGGCGTGAGAGTGGTGCGGTCCCGAAAGAAGGAGCGAGACGCTCCAGAGTCAAGGGTGAAGGTGTGAGAGGCCGAAGCCGACACAGTACCTGAGAGGGCAAACTCACCAGTACCTGAGAGCACAGACGCACTGGCACCTAGAGCAGCAGCCTCACTAGCACCTGACGCAGCAGTACCAATGCCCGGGTCGGGCGGGAAACACCGGTAACAGTCATCCTCATCACTACCAGTCACAGCATACATAGCAGAAAGAATAGCATCAAAGTCAAGATCATAAATGGCTACACCAGCCCTAGACAGCTCCCCCCAGCGGGGGATCTCAGCGGCCTCCGGAAACTGCTGACGCCAGGCGTCGGTCAGGCGGCCAAAGCAGCGGCGGGCTGCGTGGGTGCCTCCACACCTCTCCCCCGCACGGTCACCGGTGCGAAGAACGTAGGGGCAGGGACCAAACGCACCACCACGCTGACGCTGCAAGTACCACTCACGGAGCTGCTGAGGGGCGGGGACGGTGCGAGGGCGCTGCTGCTGCTGCTGCTGCTGCTGCTGCTGGCGCTGGCCACCCCCAGAGCTGCTCCGCTGGGACGAGCCACTCCGACCCCCGCCGCCACCGCCACTCCCGCCTCCAACGCCACCCCCGTCTCCACCGCCACCGCCCCCACCGGTACCCTCGCCCCCGCCTCCTCCGCCACCGCCTCCGCCGCCACCTCCGCCTCCACCGCCTCCACCAGTACCTCCACTCCCGCCACCACCTCCACCGCCACCCCCACTCCCTCCGCCACCCCCACCTCCTCCGCCTCCACTGCCCCCTCTAGCTCCACCCGCTCCCTTGCCCCCCTTGCCCTTGCCAGAGCGGCGTCTACCGCTGGGGGCAGACGCCGCACCGACCGACTCAAAACTAGCGAGGTCGGCCGCAGCGGCAGAGGCGACAGAGGGCAGCAGGGGGGAAGGAGAACACCCCTCAAAGATGGGGGTGCGAGGGTCACCTCGAGAGGCCCCTACAGCGACGATGCTCTTCTCAGCCGCTAGCAGGGACTCCTCAAGGAGGTCGACAGTGAGGGTGGTGGGACAGACAGAGAGAAACTGGTCCCTAACGACACGAAGGGACTCAGGGAGACGGGTGACGAGAAAGTAGAGAGTGATGTACATGGGAGGAGGGTTTGCGGCGCGGAACTCAGCAGGAAGGGCAGCGCGGTAGGGAGCGTCACTAGCGCGGAGGTGGGTAACGAGGTCAGCGACAGTGGGAAAGGCAGCGAGGTCACGGAAGAGAAACGGTAGCATGAGGCGGCTCAGCGTAGCGGAGGAAGGGGAGGAGTAGCGTGCAACTACAGCGTCGTACAAGGCCTGAGCGGTCTTGCACTGACTAAAGTGGGCACGCTCGGAGGAAGGGAGGTGGCGACGCACAGCAAGACGTGCAGCAGCATCGCGTGTGGCCCACTTGGAGCGAACAGCAGGGTCAGCATCAGCAGGAGGGGCAGGGACAGCTCCAGAGACAAAGTCAAAGAGAGAAACCTCATCGATCGCATCGCACAGTAAGTACAGCTGCAGGTCCTCAATCCAGACTGGGAAGTCAATGGCGCGACCCTCAGCGTCAAAAGACAGGACACTGGGGGTGGCCATTGCAGCAGCTGATTGTCTCACCGGGCACGAAGAGTCGGGTAGCACAGCGGCTCAGCAACTCGGCAGAACAGCAGCTGCGCACGCCTCGGAGCAGCAGCAGCCACGCAGGAGCAGGAGCTCGGCTCCTCAGGTTGCCCGGGCGGCTCGGGCGGCTCGGTTTGCTGGGGCGGCGCGGGCGGCTCGGGCGGCTCGGGCGGCTCGGGCGGCTCGGGCGGCTCGGGCGGCTCGGGTTGCTGGGGCGGCGCGGGCGGCTCGGGCGGCTCGGGCGGCTCGGCTGTACGGGCGGCTCGTGCGGCGCGGGCGTCGCGACGGGCGGCTCGCTGGCAGCTCGCGGGCGGCTGCACAGGCGGCTCAGGGACGGCGGCGCGGGCGGCTCAGGGACGGCGGGTGCACGGGAGGCTCGGCGGGCGGCGTACAGGCAGCTCACGGGCGGCTGCGACGGGCGGCGCTCAGGCGTCAGGGCGGGCGGCCGTAAGGGCGAAAGGGCGGGCGGCGCTCGGGCGCTAGGGCGAGCGGCGCACGGGTGCTAGGGCGGGCGGCCGGCCGTCAGGGCGCTAGGGCGGGCGGCCGTCAGGGCGCTAGGGCGGGCTGCGCTCGGGCGCTAGGGCGGGCGGCCGTCAGGGCACTAGAGCGGGCGGCCGTCAGGGCGCTAGGGCGAGCGGCGCACGGGCGCTAGGGCGGGCGGCCGTCAGGGCGCTAGGGCGGGCGGCGCTCGGGCGCTAGGGCGGGCGGCGCTCGGGCGCTAGGGCGGGCGGCGCCCGGGCGCTAGGGCGGGCGGCGCTCGGGCGCTAGGGCGGGCGGCCGTCAGGGCGCTAGGGCGGGCGGCCGTCTGGGCGCTAGGGCGGGCGGCGCTCGGGCGCTAGGGCGGGCGGCCGTCAGGGCGCTAGGGCGGGCGGCCGTCAGGGCGCTAGGGCGGGCGACGTTCGGGCGCTAGAGCGGGCGGCCGTCAGGGCACTAGGGCGGGCGGCCGTCAGGGCGCAAGGGCGGCGGCGCTCGGGCGCTAGGGCGGGCGGCCGTCAGAGGAGGGAGCGGCGGGAGCGCGACGGTAGGGGCGACACGCAGGGTCGCTAAAAAAAAAGAACGCGCGCCTCGGGGCGCGCTTCGGTGGGCCCTAGGAACAGTCCCTAGGAGGGGACCTGCTCTAATTCCATGAGAAGAATTGAACGAGAATGGAATGACTATGAACGAAGTGAGTACAAATAGGAAACCCTGATTGGGTTGTACCCCTTATGGGATACCCCACTATAGCCTACAGAAACAAGTAAGCTACATGTTCTGACATTAGATTCCTTCCGAACATTATTAGCTCACTAGATTTATATATTTCCCACCTTCTGATCGAGTGAGACCGCTAGATTCCCTTTACTTTTTGAGAAATGAGCGTTTCCGTTCTCCTTGGCCCTAGTTGCACTAAAAGTGCGAAATGCCGGCCTGACTGGCCGATGCACCATTTTCTCTACACATGTGCGTTAGTTACCTTTCAAACCCTTACGTTCACTAGATGAATTTATTTCCTACATTCTATTTGAGTGAGACCACTAGATTCCGTGTACTATGCGAGATCTGAGCGCTTCCGTTCTCCCTGGCATTTGCATTTTAAGTTCCGATACTGACCGACCTGGCCAATGCACCATTTTCTCTATACATGTGCGTTGAATACATTTCAAACCTTTTTAGCTGACTAGATTTATATATTTCCCACCTTCTGATCGGGTGAGACCATTAGATTCCCTCTACTTTTTGAGAAACGAGCGTTTCCGTTCTCCCTGGCCCCACCTGCACTATGAGTGCGAAATGCCGGCCAGACTGGCCGATGCACCATTTTCTCTACACATGTGCTTTAGTTACCTTTCAAACCCTTACGTTCACTAGATGAATATATTTCATACCTTATATTTGAGTGAGACCACTAGATTCCGTGTATTATGCGAGATCTGAGCGGTTCCGTTCTCCCAGGCATTTGCAGTTTAAGTTCCCATACTGACCGACCTGGCCAATGCACCATTTTCCATATACATATGCATTAGATTCCTTTCGAACCTTATAAGCTCACTAGATTTATATATTTCCCACCTTCTGATCGAGTGAGAGTGCTAGATTCCCTTTACTTTTTGAGAAATGAGCGTTTCCGTTCTCCTTGGCCCTACTTGCACTATAAGTGCGAAATGCCGGCCAGACTGGCCGATGCTCCATTTTCTCTACACATGTGCGTTAGTTACCTTTCAAACCCTTACGTTCACTAGATGAATTTATTTCCTACCTTCTATTTGAGTGAGACCACTAGATTCCGTGTACTATGCGAAATCTGAGCGCTTCCGTTCTCCCTGGCATTTGCACTCTAAGTTCCCATACTGACCGACCTGGCCAATGCACCATTTTCCATATACGTATGCATTAGATTCCTTTCGAACCTTATTAGCTCACTAGATTTATATATTTCCCACCTTCTGATCGAGTGAGACTGCTAGATTCCCTTTACTTTTTGAGAAATGAGCGTTTCCGTTCTCCTTGGCCCTACTTGCACTATAAGTGCGAAATGCCGGCGAGACTGGCCGATGCTCCATTTTCTCTACACATGTGCGTTAGTTACCTTTCAAACCCTTACGTCCACTAGATGAATTTATTTCCTACCTTCTATTTGAGTGAGACCACTAGATTCCGTGTACTATGCGAGATCTGAGCGCTTCCGTTCTCCCTGGCATTTGCACTCTAAGTTCCCATACTGACCGACCTGGCCAATGCACCATTTTCCATATACGTATGCATTAGATTCCTTTCGAACCTGATTAGCTCATTAGATTTATATATTTCCCACCTTCTGATCGAGTGAGACCGCTAGATTCCCTCTACTTTTTGAGAAATGAGCGTTTCCGTTCTCCTTGGCCCTACTTGCACTATAAGTGCGAAATGCCGGCCAGACTGGCCGATGCGCAATTTTCTCTACACATGTGCGTTAGTTACCTTTCAAACCCTTACGTTCACTAGATGCATATATTTCTTACCTTATATTTGAGTGAGACCACTAGATTCCATGTATTATGCGAGATCTGAGCGGTTCCGTTCTCCGAGGCATTTGCACTCTAAGTTCCCATACTGACCGACCTGGCCAATGCACCACTTTCCATATACATATGCATTAGATTCCTTCCGAACATTATTAGCTCACTAGATTTATATATTTCCCACCTTCTGATCGAGTGAGACCGCTAGATTCCCTTTACTTTTTGAGAAATGAGCGTTTCCGTTCTCCTTGGCCCTAGTTGCACTAAAAGTGCGAAATGCCGGCCAGACTGGCCGATGCACCATTTTCTCTACACAAGTGCGTTAGTTACCTTTCAAACCCTTACGTTCACTAGATGAATTTATTTTCTACATTCTATTTGAGTGAGACCACTAGATTCCGTGTACTATGCGAGATCTGAGCCGTTCCGTTCTCCCTGGCATTTGCACTCCAAGTTCCCATACTGACCGACCTGGCCAATGCACCATTTTCCATATACATATGCATTAGATTCCTTTCGAACCTTATTAGCTCACTATAATTATATATTTCCCACCTTCTGATCGAGTGAGACCGCTGGATTCCCTCTACTTTTTGAGAAATGAGCGTTTCCGTACTCCTTGGC